GCTGCATCTTTTAGGCGCATTAATATTACATAGTTACATCCCGAGCTAACAAAAGGGAGGAAAAAAGAGGCTCTCTTAATAACGTAGAAGTGACAGTTCTGCGATATTTAAAGAAAAGTGATTTGAAGGTAGACGCTTTGACATGCGAAACAATGCTAATATGAAGAAAAATTCTTAAAATTTACATTTTTTAATTGTTAAAAATTAATACAAATTGTATTTTATTTTTTTTTAACTTTCAAACGGACTCTGTTTTTTGTTATTTTATGGTCTTATAACAATTATATTCAACAATTTTTATTGAGCTTGAGGCCGTTTTTTAATGAAAACTTATTATGGAAAAGCAAGAATAATTTAAAAAAATGGTAGAAGTTATAGCTATTTCGGAAATCACCACATTTCCACAGCAGACTTCTTTCAGTAGGATTCGAACCGACGATCCCACTGATTCAGCCAGTTGCCTCCGCACTGTGCTAAGTTCGCCTTGTTAATTCTTGTTGCTTTTTCCACTATTTCACTTGTTAAGCCAACTACAATCAAGCGCAGCTATTCCGTTGCAATTCACTTGATCATGTGATTGTTGGTTTTTGTTAATATTTCTATTATTAGAATGTTTAACTTTGTGTGCTCGTCCTTAAGTTATTTGTTTTTTGTTATTTTATGGCCTTATAACAATTATATTCAACAATTTTTATTGAGCTTGAGGCCGTTTTTTAATGAAAACTCATTGTGGAACGGACTACAAGAGGTTCTTGGGAAAACTTTGTGCTGGAATCTATATGTAATACGCGAAGGCATTTTTTGTTCAGTCAGATGTTCAGTGAGATGTCAAATTAGCAAAGCGCTTGGTCTGTAGATGTGCAAACTGGATTTACTTTTTTGAAAAGAGCTGCCACCTTTTAAAAAATTAAATTCAAATTATATAAAAAATAAATCAAGTATTACAAACTGGGAACTACAATCGAAATGGTTTTGAAAAGCTTTGTTTCTTAGCTGAACTGTAGAAGGGTTGCTACCGGTTAATCATATTAGTTATTAGTTTACTTATTCACAAGTTATACGAAATATCAAAATATGGATGTCAAACGAAGGAGTCTTCAGAAATCTTTATTTGTGAATCGATTATCGATTCACAGCCACAAAATTATCACCAAATTCACTAACAATTTTGCTTTATCCCAAAGCAGGCTTGCTGCTGTAAAATTTAAGATGTATGAAAACTAAAATATATATATATAATATATATATATATATATATATGTATACATGCGAATATCTGCGGCCTTATTGAATCACCATATAAAAGGAAATGCCAAAAAACAGGTGAACTCAGCTGTGGGAATTTTTTGACAATCAGCTGCTAGTGTTTTTACTTACGAGGCTGTAAAGGAACACTATAAAAATAGTCAATATCATGCTTTCTTCAAAACATGTTTCTTTATCAGAAAATTTCATAGTATCATTTATTAATAAGGCTGTTAGTGCAGTATAGCAAAAGTGGTAGCGGCCACGAGTAAAATTCGTAAAACCACTTCCAGACTTCCCATAGCTAATTGGAATTGAAATAAAATCAACAAGTAGGAAGTCAGCTGAAAAGTACCAGCCTTTTCTCGTTACTTTTGCAAATAGTAATCTTAATTCCCGGTTTTTTAATAAGTAAATATAATTCAGTATTACAATAAAAATAATAAGAAATAATGAGACTTAATATTCGAGTTTACTTAACTCCAACTCCCACATTGCATAGAAAATTCCTGCTTTGTTGTTACAATTTTTTTTTTGCCACTAGAAAGTGAACACAAGCACGAATGCACAATAAAACTTAAGACTCATCACGTGTAAAATAAGAAAATTGATTAATATTTAGAAATATCTACAATACTTAAACCGGATTATTAAATTAAACTTTCAAGCATTGTTGTGTTAAAATTTTTTCCAATGAAACGTGAGTTAATAACAGTAAATTTTTCAGCCAGCACCAAAGTGGGAATTCCAAGCGTATAGAACCTTAAGATAATATTCAAGATTGCAGAGATAAATCAAAAAAAGCAAGGTATTTCCATTTAACAAGTTTCTCAAATTACAAAACAAATATTCGGCAGACAAGTATGCCAAACAGGGAAAACAAGATGAGAAAGCAAAAATGGCAATAAAAAAAAAGTTGCGAAATCACGACAGGCAAACGGAAATATGTACTTCCAAATATGCAGTCGCTAAAGCGGAGAGGCTAATCGACTACTTAGTACAAGCAAAAATTTATTAATTCCCCAAAAATGTCAACGAAGCTACAGCTGAGCGGCGATAAGTGACAGACAGAATGTGTGATTTTGTCAAGTGATAAGCGGCGGTTCTGGCATGTGATTGAATATTAATTTACTATGCCATTCTAACAGCTGATTTTAGCAGAGAAAAGTAACTTATATTCCTAAGTATGTGGAAAAGGCAAAGAATCAAAGCAGAAAACGTGCAAAAACCACAGCACCGCTTCAGTTAATTGAAAAGAGTTGAAAAAAAACGCCATATCAGCACAACCGCAACATAACTGGTTAAACAATTTTATTTATGTATATTTACATATATGTACGTTTATAAAAACATGAATACGCGCTCATAAAAATAAAATATTACCCAGAAGCGGCATTGTCTCGCTCATTACTTGTCGATGAATTTTTAATCGATTATTTTGCTTCGGTTTTGGGAAACCCGCAAATAAATATTTCCGAACTTGTATGGCAGACAATAAATTTGGCCAAGAGCTATGAGCATGGCTGTATATTTACATACATGTGCATATATGTGTGTGTGTGTGTAAATTATGCATATTTTTTTCAACACGAATATAAAAACACCCACCAAACAATTTTTGTTGCGGGCTATAAGAAAACGTCTGGCCCTCGGAAACAAATTTATTGCCGGTAATATTGCCATCGTATCGATTTCCTATTGCCAGTCACTCTAAAACGTCCGCCGAAGACAACTCGCCTCTGCGAGTCGTTTTCTTATTACCTGAATGAGTCGTTTTCTTATCGCTTCAGGCGATATTTGGAATAATTTTATCTTTTTAATAAACTTTTTAATGAACTTAGAATCCTTTTCAATCCTGTCCTTGGTAAAAATTAGACGATTTTGGTTAATATAGTTGACGCGAAATTTATAAGTTTGGGAATTTTTTATAACTTATTTATTCCAAAGTTGACATGAAAGAAATGATGTTGCCGATTTGTCACCACAGCAATAAATCGGTGAGTCGCCAATTTGTTGCCATTGACGATTGTTGCCATGAGAAATATATTTTGCATGGTGGGCACTCTAAACTTTTTCACTNGACAAGCATCCGAACAATACACACATACTAAATATGGGCAGGGGAACATTAGTCGAGGTCGAAAAGAAAAAAATAAAATAAAAATATCAAATGATACAGCGAACATCTTTGAAAGAGTTCATTCGGGGGCTATAGTGGAAAATAGTTGAGGTACTTCGAGAGACTTTTTATTTTTTCTTTTTTGCAGGGGTAGGCACTCTCTCTGCTATAATTTTGTCTATTTTTTATATTTTTTTTATGCAAAAACATTAATTCATCGTATACCAAATATGGGCAGGGGAACATTAGTTGAGGTCGAAAAGAAAATTAAAAAAAAAAAAATATCAAATGATACAGCGAACACCTTTGAAAGAGTTCATTCGCTATAATTTTGTCTAATTTTATTTTTTTTTTATGCAAAAACATTAGATAATTCATCGTAAGAACTAGTCAGGGTTAGCGCTGATAATAGTATCAAGTCTGTCCGGGAATGCTACACATGTTGCATGATTGTCGTGATATGAAAAGAAATGAAAATAAAAATAAAAATAATAATAATAATAATAATAAATGAAAATAAAAATAGACAAAATTATGGAATTTTTAATTGGTAACACTTTGTGTTAGGTAATCGAAGAATATTTTTTTGATCAAGACGATACAGTACTTGAAAGTTTCGATTTAAAACTAAGAAAACTTTTATGTCAACGAAATCCTCTCTAAGTAAGCTTTAAAACAGCATGGATTATTACAATTTTTTCGTTTTACCCCAGCCTAGTGTACAGCTACTAAAAAAATATTGAGCTTCATTAAAAATTATTGAAAAATATATATCATAAAACGAAGCCCCCAGATTAAGGTGAAGACACACTATTTTTTCTTATCATTGTAGAGTGTAAAAAAATTTAACATAAGTAAATTCATATATACTTACATACATGCATGGATACATTTAAGATGGAATTTTTATTCGGAAACTTTTGCTGATATCCAAAATTTCGGACTTTTAGTAATTTTACTGACAAATTGCATAGATACATTTTTCATTATTCTGAAAGTAGAGAATATATAGAAAGGTTTTATTAAAAACTTTAAAACAAAAACTGAATTTCGATCAAATTGTATATAGGTAAGTGGATATATCTATGTCCATAAGCAAAAAGCGGGAGCGAAAATATGTAAACAATGTAGCTAGGGAGATTATTACCTAAATCGACTTTAGTGCATATTCCTTTTGACTACAAAAATACTTTTTATAAATAAATTTAAAAGTGCCAAAAAAGTATGCGTGTTTCGTAAAGTGCTACTCTCAAAATACGGAAAACACCCTGTAACGTGTAATATTGTTTTTTTTTTTATTTTATATTCCATTGAAAGAACTCGACTGATTCCACAAGTAAAGTGTCCATTCCTAGTTGATAAGAAAAAAATAATTTATTGCGGTCCAGCCTAATGTATAAAGGAATGTAAATATGGACCTATTCGATCATAGATGACATGCAAGCAAACATACATCCACATGAAGTACGAAACTATCTGAATGATTGCTTTTGTGTTTTGCTAACTAAAAATACATATTTTTTGGACTTAATGTAGAAAAAATACAAATTTTTACACATGGAAACAAAAAACGAATAACATGAAAATAAAAAAAAATATTAGCAAATAAATTTAAAAAAAAAAAAGAAATTTACATATCGATAGTACTCTGTAATAATACACCACTCAAAACTAAAATACAAATAACTTCCTACTGTCAATAATCCTTGTCAAATCCATATTAAACGTTTCTGACAGCTTTTTCAAGATTTAGTAAGGCTTAGACAAGGATTAGAGACATGTGCCACTGTTCAGTAGCAAGCGTTTTTTGTTTTTTTGTTTTTTTGTGGCTTAAGTTGCGTCGTTATTGCTGAGGACGATTGGCATGTGCCTATGTATGTAAGCATGTAATATAATTATGAAAATGAAACCAAATAAATTAGGGGAGGTCATGCATGCTAATATAGGATGATCTGGGTATTTCTCGTTTTAATTAACGCAAAAAAATGGGTAGGTTTTGAGGTTTTGCTCAAGGTCATTTATTGTTCGAAATCAATAGGCATTAGTTATATCCGGAATGGAATTTGCGTTGGTTAGTACAACAACGTACATCGTTTGAGTCTTATTTTCAATACTTATTTTGATACAAATACTGGTAGCAATAGCAATGGCAATCAAGTTTACGATAATTCTATTTACAAAATATTGCTCAAAATATTAACCAGATTCACTAGTCTTCCAGATCTTGATGAAACCTAATGAACTCAAATGTCGGCACAAATAAAAAAAAAACAAAATCAATACAAAATTATGATTATTTCATGATTCTTATTTTTTTTGCTCAAAGATAATAATTGCACAGGATCACAAATTTTTGTTTTGGTTTTGGTTTTCCAGAGTTAATTTTTTTTTCTATGGATACGTTTTCGAAATATTTGCAATTTACTGTTATTCAGCTTGAAAAAATTATGGTTCCACTTAATCGCGTATATCTTACGAACCAATTGAATAATCGTAATACAAAGTATGGCAAAAGCCAATGAAATTCTCTATAATTCGTATATACATCACTTTTCGATAGGCATGATAATTTTTGAGAAATTAATTGATAACTTCACTTTTTTTTTTGATGAAAAAATAAAAAAACTCAAACTTAAGAGGGAAAAATTAAAAATAACGACCGTTTTGTTTTTTTTTTTTTGTTATTTTTTCGTTAATTATTTTCATAGAAACTATCAAACTTATCGAAAAGTGTCACTTTTAAAATTCTTGACGTTTCCAAGCAATTTAATTTTTAAATTTACTCACAAACTCACACACACATTTTCATTTTCAATCTCAAGCAACAACAATTTCGTACAATTTCAATTTTTTATTTTCACTTTTATATGATTTTAAAATGTTGGCAAACTTCAAAAAAAAAAATCATGGCCGACAAATTGAGATGTTTTTATCATGATGTATACAAAGTTTATGGAGAATTTCTAAAGCTTTCATTTGCCGTATTTCGTATTACAACTATTCAATGAGTTCGTAAGATATACGTGATTAAGTGGAATCCCCATTTTTTAAGCTGAATGACGGTATCCATAGAAAAAAATGTTAACTAAATTTTCGGAATCACCGAGCAATTCTACATATGCACTGGATAGTGGCATCCATAGAATATATTTGCTGTAAACCAGTGTTATTATTGAGTTTTCTTTTTTCACTTAAGAAAAATGATTATTCAAAAAATTCAAAAGCAAAATCACGGTGTTTTTCGACGCATCCCTTTCAGAGGTGTCGCTTACCTTAATAAAAGGTAAATTTTTAAGTCGTCCACATTTTTTGTGCACCAAAAAATTATGATCCCTTCGACTTTTTTAGAGTAGAACTCCGTAATGCCCAAAAGGCGCTTGGCGGGTAGTTCTGTTCTTTTATGTATGTGTTATGAAGTTGAGATTTTGAATCCTTTTGGATGGTAACAAACAAAGACTACCTCAAAATGTTAACTCATTTCAAAAATATGGTTTTTCGTCGACAACGGGAACTGATTGCTGATTATGTTGCGCAATAGATGATGAAATGTGGTGTAAATTATATCATGCGAAAAGTCCGATTGGTTTCTTGTTGAAAGTACTGTATGTATTTATATGAACAAATTTCGCCAGTTGTTTTTTTAGTGTTACTCTCTTCTCTCGGCAGAAAAAACAACAAAACGGTAAAACATTGACTTGCATTTATTTCAATCAATTTAGTCCCAAAAACGAGTAAAATAAAAAGAAACTTGAACAATTTTGGCCTTAAAACGTTTACTTAGGCGAAAAAGTACCGAAATTACTCAGTTTTTTGTTGTCACTCGTTGTAACTTTGAGAAGTTTTCAAATAGAATGTTCATATTTAGAGGCAATGCACGCTGGGATCAAATACAACACATCTGTGAAGTTTCAAGAGTTTACCACGAAATTAAAAAAAAATGCAGCATTTTTTTTTAATTTTAAAAATGTAAGATACTTCAAAATATTAAAATTAAGCGATGAAAAAACTTTTCTTGCCAAAACGAACGAATCTAGTGTAATAAAACTAGTGTGTCACCAAATGAAAAAAATTTACAATGAGCAAAATATGACTAAACTAAACTAAAATTCCATTGTTACATTTTTTTATTGGCAAACTCGAAATTCATTCTAAAATTCTTAAATTGTTATGTAATTACTTTTAGACAATACGAAATTTAAGTTAAGGCGTGCGAGTAAACTGGTAGATGACTGCATGTGGTGCTATGGGGCGTATACGTTATATGTCCAACTATGGGTATATGAGCACGAGTAGTTTTTTTTTACTTTTCTAGTACCTATACCTTTTTTAAGTTTTTATTTAAATAAGATTTCACGATGGAATCCAGTTCTTTAAACAAAACTGAAGATAATGCATTTTCTAAGATAGGCGTAACCCCATTTTCGTCCAAAAACATGTTTTAGAGTGGTAAAAAAAATCCGAGCTAGGGTCCGGACACTTTCCAAAATTTTTCCTCTTGCCCAAAGAAGTGCTGGCACCAAACTTTACATTTCTAAGTATAAATTTAGACGATGCTCATGAAATTGTTATATTTTACTCTAAAGCAGTGGTCGGCAGGCCATAGCTCACTGAGCGCTCTCTGAGCACATGTGTGTTCCACACGTATACGAAGAGCGGTATCTGAGCAGGGCATTTAACGCACACAGTCTCACTTATTGAATCATTTGAATGTGTTAGAATGCCGACCACTGCTCTAAAGTATATTGTACATATATTAACCAATCAACTGCTTAAGCAACCTAAGATCATTTCAAATTTAAATTAGTTGAACAAATATTGCCAGCTTCATTTATGAAGGCAGCACCAGCTTTTTATAAAAGTCACCAATATTTTTGTCAGTTTGAAAGAGATTCAGTAGCGCATTTCAAAGTTGTTGAGCACCTTTTATTTGTTGCAGTAGAACACTGATAGTTGGCATAGATATTAAAAATACCCAAAGTCAAAAATAAGAGTGTGCCCCATTTCCTACGCCGACATCTTTTCTCCCCATACAAAACTTGGACCACTCTAATATTTATTAGATACATACCACAGCGCATGGCAGTGCGCGCGAGTGACGAAAACAGCCACAGTTTGCAAAATAACTCTGCGACAATTACACGCATTTTTGATGCAATTTCAAGTCAACTCGAACCCGATTGGAGTGCCTCAATTAAACGCTATAGCAATAAAATCGGTAGCAATGCTACTAATATGCCTGCTGCATGCAT